CAGACTGAGCTAGGTCCATACAACGTTCCTCACCTCTGAACAATAGGTTGGGAGGCGTTTGGGGTTATACTGTTAGAAAAAAAGGTGAACGAAAATTTTTTTGAAATGGTAATCAAGTTACAAGAACATTGAACATTTTGGTCTAATTTTCGTAAATGCACAAAAATAAGGGAAAGTTCGGGCGGTGCTGACGCATGCGTGTGTTAGTTCGGTTTCACTAAGTGTAGACGAGCACAAAAGAAGTCCACATAATGAATTAGGAAAGTTCGCCCACACTCCCACACAACGTTTCGGCCTTTCTGAAATGCAGTTTTTAAACTTTTGTGTCAGCGTTTTTTGACACATAAGCTGTCAAGGAAATCGCCATCAAAAATCCAGCTGGAAGGAATGTTTAATTGAAAACAAAGGTTTTTAGTGAGTTTCTTTTAGCACCCTCAAAACTAAGATAAAGTCCATTATGTATTGAAGACATGGCATACAAGCGTCCTGCAGATTCAAGTGTCTGGTAAATAAAATCGTCATTTGTCTTTTGAATAAAGTTTTTACATGCAACTGCTCTTATTTAATCAGAGCGTGGAACTTTACGATACGATATTGTAGAGAACAAGAGAATATTTAAATCTTAATTTTGGCCGTGAGAGGTTCCCTTGTTCTGTGTATACATTATGAAAATATCATGCACGCGACGAAGATTGCATTGTCGTTTATTCACACGCACACTGTTTTAAACAGCTGGCATTACTGTCGTTCTGTGACAGTTTAATTTCTCCAGTCAGCCACCTATAATTGATAGCAGGTTAAATACCCATAATATCCTCGCGACTGTTCCACTGCCTTAGTATAGTATAGTATAGTATAGTATAGTATAGTATAGTATAGTATAGTATAGTGTAGTGTAGTGTAGTGTAGTGTAGTGTAGTGTAGTGTAGTGTAGTGTAGTGTAGTGTAGTGTAGTGTAGTGTAGTGTAGTGTAGTCTAGTGTAGTCTAGTGTAGTGTAGTGTAGTCTAGTGTAGTGTAGTGTAGTCTAGTCGAGTCGAGTCGAGTCGAGTCGAGTACAGTACAGTACAGTACAGTACAGTACAGTACAGTACAGTACAGTACAGTAATGTGCGGTGTTGAATACTGAATTATTTTATTTTACAGGTGCACGTCAAGAATTCAACGTCAGCTAGATTGTACGAGCAAGTGACACTGGATGATAATCCAGTGATGGGAGATATACTGCTGAATGAAACTGTAGACGAAGTCTTTTTACTCACGGAACAAAAGGTGAACTGTGTCCAACAGTTAATTAAATAATGTCTTCAGTATGCTGAAGTATCTTGTTGGTTGTTGTTGCAGTATTTTATCTTAAATTGTCATTCAAGATGCGTGCTGAGAATTGCGGTCATAACCTGCTGATGGAGACCCATGCGGTTGGTGGTGTACTCTGAATAGAAAGTTAAGATCTAGCCAATGTTTCTGCTAATTATTTGTTGGTCTTTCGTAATTCTCTGTCTTTTTTTTCATACAGTTTATTAAAATGCGTGTTGAGAACTGTGGTCAGTACACCACCTGTGAGGCATGTATTGGGACTGATGCAGGGAATGATGGAGACCCATTT